GGGACAACAGGGCAGACCCTACAGTGAGAGACTGCGGGACCTGAACCTATTCAGCCTCCACAAGAGAAGGCTGAGGGGGGACCTGGTGACCGTCTATAAACTCACTAGGGGGAACCAGAAGGGTTTGGGGGAGACGCTGTTTCCCCTAGCCCCCGCTGGCATAACAAGGAGTAATGGGCACAAGTTGATGGAGAGGAGGTACGGATTGGACATCCGAAAAAACTACTTCACAGTTAGGGCGGCTAGGAGCTGGAACCAACTTCCAAGGGAGGTGGTGCTGGCCCCTACCCTGGGGGTCTTTAAGAAGAGGCTGGATACTTACCTGGCTGGACTCAATTGAGTCCCGTTTTTGTTTTTAGGGTTGTGTTTTTTTGGGGGGTTTTTTTGGGTTGTTCTCCCACTCTGGCGGGGGGTCGGGCTAGAAGATCTATTAGGTCCCTTCCGACCCTAAAACTATGAAACTATGAGTCATCTGATGATAGCCTCTGATTGCTACTCGGCTAAATGCTGGACCCGACTCAGAATTTTTATTTCAGTTCATGAGCCTTTAGAAACTCTATTTTTCAGCCGAATAGCGAGGCCTTGCTCTTCCTTTTGGTCCCAGCAGCACGAGTTTGGATGCTGCTCCTATTCTGGGTAAAGGGAAAAGAATGCAATTAAAGGTTGCATTATGGCGTGCGGACCCAAGGGGCAGAGTGAAGACATGACCGGCAGCCTGAATTTGGCATTTCCTAATTAGATTTTCTTGTCTTTGTGGCAATTAATACTCAAGTTCTGGGGATTATAGAGATTCCTAAATCATTGCTTAATCACAAATGCCTGTTGTCTGCAGAGATTTTCACATCAAGTGGACTGCTAACATGCTAGGAAAGCTTGCGGTGAGATTGAGATGGCCAGTCTGTTTCCAGTAGCAGCAGTGAACAATAAATACTCATTTAGTGACATCTGGTTTTTGGGTTGGCTGCGTAACTTCCCCTGTTGACCCACAGCTCGGTTTTTGATGCGCCTTCATTTCCCATCTGATCCCATGACCCCTCTCATTGGACTGGGGTGTCACGGCCTGTGGATTCCTTGAGCTGTTGCAGATGGGTTTGAACCTTGTGCACTGGGTCCCATGTTGACCTTCACGCTTCTGACATGGTTCTGAGCAGTCCCTCTTCTACCTTGTTCCCACCTGAGCGTCGGGTTTCCAGAGGCTGGTTTTGAGTTCTCCAGCCAGGTCTCCTCAGCGCTTGCTTTCCACAGCTGCCCAGGTTCACACACGTGTTACTGCCACGCGTGCTGGCAGGAGCGATCTCACTGTGTTCTCGGAGCCAAGCTCAGACTCCAAGTCTTTGCCTGAGGGCCTTGCATATCACTGAGCTGGGGAGCCGAAGCCAGGTGCTGACTGCAATGGCCAGTCCCCAGGATAGCCCAGCTGGAGTGCTGGATAGCAAATGCTCTGATCTGGCCACAGTCAATTGACAACTAAAAATGTTTTGCTCCAGAAACACAAGGAAGCTTCATTGCTTTGGTAGCAGAGGAGGCAGCAGAAGTGCCAAATTCGTTATGAGTGAATGAGCCCAGGCCCTGGCCCCACGTAGAACAGCAAGTTGTTTGCTTGCGCCTGGGGGCTCCAAGAATCCTAATGCAGCTTCACAGATCTGAGCCAGTTTGTCTTTGTAACTTGCTGAGGAGCCAAGGTATTATTGGGAGGAGAGTTCCCATGTTGGCTACAAATGTCCAACTCAGGATCCTTAAAATTCTGGTTTATTAGGTGGATTGAAACACTGCAGTGAGTTAAATCATAAACCTTGGGGCTGGTCTGCACGCACGCACGCAAGCAAGCTACAGAGTCAGGTATACCTATCCTACAGGCGCTGGAGTCTGCTGTCGATGGCCAGTCAAGGCTTCTTTCAGCGTGGTGTTATCCTCCAGAAGGGGGTTGCTGGCTGGTCCTTCTGGCTGGACAGGGTGGGTACTGGTCAAGTTGGAGATCAAGAAGGCGCCACTGAGGGTCACTTTTCACTGCCTTTTATCTGTCCTTGTCAGACTTTGGTGACTCCCCAGTTTTCAGGTTTGCCCAATCCAGGGGTGGATGGCATCTGTCAGCCCCAGGAGTCATCCACATGTACGTGCAGGTTTGGGAGTCCATTGATGAATTTTGAATAGGGCTCTGGGAGTGATCTGGAGATATTCAGCCCAAAAGTTGGTCTCTGGCGTTGATTAACTCAGGCCAGGGCTTCTAGCCCTTGATCAGTGAGGTTTAGAGATTTCCTGGTTGCTACATTGTCTTCTATTTAATTCTTCCCTTGGTTGATCTGCAGTGTCCCAGGTGTTAATTGCTGTCTGCTACAGTGTTACACATTCAATCACTGATTCACTCGCTCTTTCAGGGGCCCGCCTGATACAGGGAAGGGCAGTTTGATTCCTGCCCTTGTTAACATTTGTTACAATGTATAATTTACTTATGAAACTAAACACATTTAGTTGAAAGTTGAAAGGTGAGGAGTATAAAATATAAGCTACAAATGCCATGGCACACAAATAGATAAAAATACCAAACTACAAGGGGAGATACAAAATGCGCGCACACAAATTTTAAAACACAATTCCTTATCTTAAAGTGAAAGAGAGAGGAAGGAAGAAAAGGTAGAAAAAGAGAAACATATCCAAAGAGAGGAGAGCAAATGCAGGCAAAAGGAAAAGGGGGCTTTCTGCTACACCCATTTCACAGGAAGAGAGTAGAGGCAGGGAGAGACATGCGACATCTGTTCCTAGCTAGGGAGGCGCTAATACCCGTGGGTGTCCTGTCTGAGGATCAGCATCTTGCAGAGCAAATGGGGCTTGTTGCAGCCGCGGCACATGAATTGCCCAGTGCTGGAGGGTGTCCTGGGCTGGGAGCAGGTCTCAGTCTAGAGGGCCGTGGGGGCAGGGTCAACCGGGCAGCGTGAGGGCGAAGGGGAGGCAGTGTGAAGAGATGGGTTGTCAGCGCGGCTCATGGGAGGATGGGCTGGGCAGGGCAGGGTGGTGGTGGTGCGGGCGTGCGGCTTGGCTGCTGGGATTTGCATGGTGGCTTAATTGGAGGTTGTGGGGCCGCAGCTGAGACCTGTGGTGGTCTGTGGCCTGTCCCGCCTTGCAGGAGGCACCTCTCCCTCGTCCAGGGTGCGGTGCAGTCAGCCGGCTCAGGCTCGCCATGCCTGGCTGTCAGGAGGCTGTCTCCAGAGTCCTGCATTTGGTGACTCTCCCTGTGCCCTGATGGGGTTTGCTCCTGTCTGCTCAAGGGAAGGGCTTCTTTCTCCTCACAGCTCCCTGCTCTCAGGGCATCTCCTTGCCTCTTCCTCATCAGCTGAGTCTTCACACTCTGAGTCTCTCACCAGGAGGCCTGTTTTCCATCCTTTCATCATTCTGGGTGCTCTTTACTGGAGCCCTCTCGGGGCAGGAGAGACGCCTGGGGTTCTTGCCCAGGGGCCGTGATGCAGGCACAGGCCGTTCCTTAGGACCCCTCCCCAGGGCAGCTCCCAGTCCCTCGCTGCTGTTGCTGCCATTTGAGTCCAGCTATCACTAATTACTTGTTCGCTTGCAGCTGGGGCTAGGGAAGTGGCTGATTGCGGGGAGGGGGGGGCATAGGTCTGTGCAGTGGGGTGTGGGGCTCAGACAGTGGTGCTGAGCACCTTCCACACCCCTATTTAGCAGCCTGAGTATCCCTGTTACCAGAGCACTGGGGGGGCCCAGACTGAGCCTGTAATCTGTCTGGAGGGATAGATGCTTCCAGGAGCAGCGCTCTGCATGGCCTAGGGCTGGGAGAGCTGCCTGCATCTGCAGGGAGGAGCACAAATCCTGACACCCAGGTGCCCAGACCAGCCGGGATCTTGCAGAGCAGCCGTATATGTATCGCACCACAGCTCATTATCTTGTGTCACCTTCAGAGCTCTGCAGAGCGTACAAGGCTCTAGAGAATCGCATCTGTCGTGTCAGCCCGTGCAGGTGAAATGTTGTGCCGTGCTCTGGTCCCATCCAAGTCATTTTCAGGCCCTTAGAAAGACTTGGCCCTGTCCTGCAAAAGGGGTCATAGAAAAAGATACGAAACCTCAGTGACTCCCGTGATTGCCAGGTACTGAGAGAGACGGGTGCAGAACTTGATTGCAAAGGGTGTTTAATTGTTCTAAAGTCCTAATCGTGTCAAGACACAAGTTACACCAGTTTTGCAGAAACGTGTCGGGGAACCGAGACTCACTGTTAAGATGCTGTGCAGTGTCTAGGAAATCTTTGATAATTTTTCCTCAAGCAGTGCTTCCCTCAAGCAATATGAATGCATTAGTATGTGGATAGTATTAGCATGGTATTTCAAGCAGGATGAATGCATTAATATTGCATTGTCCTGTGTTTGCCCAGTGCTTCCCGGAGCAGGCACGCAGAGTTGAACAGCCACAGACAAAGGAAGCGATGTGCTGTGTAAAATGCCATTGCAATACATCTCCTCGTGGCCCCAGCAGTAACTGTGGATCCAGCGCCTCGCTGGATTGCTCCATCAGAAGGAGGCATTGCCAACATGCGTCAGTTATTTCTTTGTGGTCTTGTTTGTTCACAGTCAGCGCACATGGCACCCTGCTGTGGCAGGAATAAATGCTGGGAGGCATTTCCTTGTTTGTGGCTTCCAAACCTGCCTCTCCAGCTGCTCCTCTTCCCCGAGGAGTTCTGGGCCTGCTCCCTCTGGGGCTGCTGTCTGTGCTCTGCCCCTCTCGCCCATGCAGACACGTGCAGCTGCAGCCTGTCTCTCTGCCTCTGTGTTTTAGTCAGTCCCCAAGGACATCCCGCTTGCTGCCCTGGTATTCTCCTGCCTCGGGTAGTGGCTTGCATGGCTTCAGCAATCTGACTCCCTAAAGGAGTTAAGTTGCATCTCCCACGTAGCCGACCGGAGAGTGGCCAGCCCCAGAGCCCGAGCTGCAGACATCCTGGCTCTGCTGGGGCAGGAAGTCTGCGGAAGACTGATGCTAACGTGCCTCTTCTCCCCTCCCCAGAAAAGCCATGTCAGGTGGAGCAGCTGGACCGGATCCTGCTCTCAGGCATCTACAGTGTGCGCAAGGGAAGGACCCAGCTGCACAAGTGGGCAGAGCGCCTGGTCATCCTCTGTGGCACCTGCCTCATCGTGTCCTCCGTGAAAGACAGCCACACGGGGAAGATGCACGTTCTGCCGCTTGTGGGAGGGAAGGTGAGGTGTGGTGTGCGGGCCAGTGGAACAAGGAAACCACCAAGCTGGGGTGGCCCATGCCCAGACGGTCCTTGGGGCAGGAGTTCTGCATACAGTTGCACAGGTTTCACAAGCCTGTGGCAGCAGCAGTAATGCTACTCTTCTGCAGTCAGCAGCATGAACCAGCTCACCCTGTCCTGCCCCCGTGATCGCTGACTGGGAGCCTCCCTGCCGGGAGGCCTGGAAAGATGCTTATCATCGCTGCCCAGCAAGCCCAACTTAGCCACTGCCCTTGGAGCAGAGCAGAGCCCCTTCTCCCATAGCCCCCCCACTTTGTCCCCCTGCTCCCAGAGCTGCTGGGTTGTGATGCGGCTCCTTTCTCCCATTGCAGGTGGAGGAGGTGAAGCGCCGGCAGCACTCGCTTGCCTTCAGCTCCATGGGGGCACAAGCGCAAACATTCCACGTCTGCTTCAACACGCCAGCAGAGTGCCAGCGCTGGCTCCGGCAGGCTTCTGCGGTGAGGCCCGGGCTGCGGGGGGTTGAGCTGTGGGGCTCCAGGGTGAAAGGGAGGGCAGTTTGCAGAATGATGACCCAGACCTACCCCTGAAATTGCTGGGGGTGTGCCAGGATCACCTCCTGGCACCCCTGCACAGGTCATCTCTGGGGACACTGGCTGAGCTGTTGTGTGCAGCCCCGAGCAGCTGGATGCTGCACGCCAGGGCTCTAGAGGCTGCTGCCTGTACAGCACCACCGAGCCATCATCCTGCCCTGGTGCCCCATTGCAGCCAGTGCATGCTTTTCATAGACATTAGGCCTGGAAGGGACCTTGGAAGATCATTGAGTCCAGCCCCCTGCCCCAGGGGCAGGAAGTCAAGGGGCATGCTGCCAGCCTTCAGAGTTACTCCCAGGGCTGGCCTCTTCCCTTCGCAACAACGACCCACAAACTGGACCCTGCCCTCACTACCTCTGCCAGAGTGGTACACAGAGCTGGCATGACGCTGCTCTGGGGCACAGAGTGAGTCGGCATGGCCAGCCCACGAGCTGCAGAGGCTGGTCAGTCCCGCCACCTCGTTCCGCATTAGACCACTTGGACAGGAGTGGCCTCTGCTAAAGGCTGGTTTCATGTGGAACGCCTGGTATCAGCTGTGGCCAGGAACGGGTTCTGGGCTGGGTGGAGCAGTGGTCGGGGCAGTGGCGCAGTTCCCGTGTGCCACCTCAGGCTGTGGACAGCAGCAGTGTCTGCATGGGGTGGGGCCATCTCCCAGCATTGCACAGCTGCTTTGCCAGCATCTAGTGTCCTGTTCTGTAGGCCACAGCTTCCCTGTGCCCAATGGGCATCCAGGGCTCCTGGCACTGCCTGGGCCAGTCTCAATGACAGTGGTGCTGCTGAAGCGCAGCCCGCGGGGTCCCTGCATGCATGGTCTCTGCTAAGGATGCTGCCATGTTACGAACCACCTGCAGAGCAGTGCAGAGACCCCTGAGCACAGTGCTGCTGCCTGAGGCCTCCATGGGCTTGCAGGCCACTGCCAGTTCAAACAGCATCTCTAGTCTCCTGTGGGGTCTGGCCTGTTCAGCCATTCAGACCTGGTCCAGTCTCTTCCTGACCTTCTGTTATCCTCTCAGTTTCATCTTCCTTCCAGCGCTTTGGCCCTTCACAGTCGTGTCTCAGGCTCTTGCTGCTGTCAGCTTTCGCAGCCAGAGCTGTCCCCACCAAGGGTTCTTCCCTGTCAGTGCTTGGGGACTGTGGAGAATCCTCTGATGCTCTGGAGCACTCTCACTCCAAGCAGGGCTTCTAGCTTGGTCCCCTGGAAGGACCAGCTTTGTCACCATGCACACGTAGCTTGGCCACCAGCCCATCCTGCCCAGATGCAGGGGAATGCATCACAGTTTGAGGGCAGCCAGCTGCCATAAAACTAGGCTGGCTATAGAGTCCAGAACAAAGCATCCGAGGTCTGAGGACGGAAGATCGTGGCCATAGAAATGACTTCAGAGGAGGCCCAGTTTTGCAGAGCCTGGGTCAGTGCAGAAATGTTGCAAAGCCTCCTTGGGTAGATCTTTTCCAGCTTGATGAAAGTGGTGTGCGAGTGCCCAAAGCAAGGGAAACCCTCAAACCCTGCCCAAAGCTGCTGAGCTCTGCAGCATCGCCAGGGACTGCTGCTGTCAGCCCGTCTGGTCTGGAACATGCCCCTGCGCTGCACTGCGCTGCAGGGCAGCAGTTGGAGCCAAGAGTCGGTTGATGTCCTTGCTAAGCTGCATCCCTCCTGCTGTTCATTGTGGCTGGCAGCTGGGGCCAAAACGCGCATGCAGCTCATACAAGGCAGCCCCTTTCTCTTTCCACCACCATCAGTCAGGGATGAGAGCAGTAACAAGCAGGCCGGGGTTGTATGCAGTGCAGTTAAAAACCACTTTCCTGTGCGGGCCCTGCCCACCCGTGGCAGAGACCAGGATCCTGTTGCTGCGCTGTGCTCTGTCAGCCCCCAGCGTGTCCTGGCCTTGCAGTTTACTCTTGACTTCTTGATTTGGTCACAGAAAAGACGGTGCAGGCTGAACTTGGTCCTTGCCTTCCAGGTTGTGTCTCAGCGCCTGAGCACTGTGGACCTCTCATGTTACAGCCTGGAGGAGGTCCCTGAGCATCTCTTCTACAGCCAAGACATCACCTACCTCAACTTGCGACACAACTTCATGCGCCCGAGTGGCTCGGGGGGGCTGGACTCACTCTGCAGGTCTGTGCTGACCTGGTTCCGTTGCACTGGGGCCACTGGGTTACACTGGGGGCAAGGGGGCGGGAGCATGCAGAGCGTACAGGAGTCACCCTGGTCCCTGTGGCTCCTGCCCACTGGGAGGAGGGTGGCCTTTGAGAGGTGCTAGCTGCTGGAGGCTGGGGAGTCTGAGTCATGCCCAGCAGCGTGCCAGTGGGCTTGCACAGAGCTGTGCCTTGCGACTTGATGTTGCACAGACAGATGCCATGGTGATTGTGAGGCCCTTGGCTAAACAGTTGGGTAGCACCATTTGCTGCAAGAGCAGCAGCCAAGAGGAGCCCAGTGCAGCAGTCATGCTGAGAGGCTTGTGTGTAGGGGCGTGAGGCTGAAGCACCTGTTCCAATGAGACTGCAGAGCTGGCCCATGCCTGGGGCAGCAACGCTGCAGAGACTCTGGCTGTGCTTTGGGCAGCCAGTGCACGGGGGAGCAAGAGGCTTGGGACCAGGTGGACAGCAAGCTCCGATTTGCCGACAGTGACAGCAGGAGTGCATGGCCATGAGCAGGACAGGCTTGGAACAGATTAGGATGCAGTGAAGCAGGGAGCAGACAGACGAGGGGTTCCTGGATTCCCCAGAGAGCTGGAAGGTCTGCAGCAGCATGGTTAGATGGCTGCAGCCTGCAAGGCCTTGCTGCCTTTGGGGGAGAAGTGAGAACAGGACATGCCTGTCTATTCAAACAAAGCAAAGGGTGGAAACGGACGTTGCCTTAAAACATAAAAAAGTTTTATGGCAGCACAAAGGCCAGCAAACACGTCTGTGCTCTTGTCACATCACAGATGCCCAAAATGAGCTGCAGCAAGGTGGTGTCGATCTGTGCTGCCTCATTGCAGCTGACATCTGTTAGGCTTATGGCAGGAGAGCGCGGCCAGCTTGGTACTGCCTGTGTTTTCCAGCTGCCCCAGCCAGGCACTCCTGGGGCTGCTTGGGCCTGATCCTGCGTGCCCTGACAACACCCATTTGGGATTCCCCAGGTACCCATGAGCACTCTGGTATGGTCCCGTGCTGGGACCACCAGCAGCAGATTGGCAGCCCCAGGACTGCTCTGGAGTGTCAGGCTTGGTCTGGGGCAGTCCTGAGCGCATCTCTGAGCAGGACAGCTGGAGTCTCTGGGATGCATCTGTCAGCAGGGAAGCCCCTCCTGTCCTTGGTCACAGAGAAGCATCCTGGAGATTTCCAGGACGTGTCTGTAAGCCAGAAATGCGCTACCCATTGCCCTGCAAGTTCAGCGGGTGACAGGCGATGCGTGTTTCGGCCAGCGAGGTGAATCTGCTGAGGTGAGACCCATCCCAGCGCCACTGATCCGCTTCATTTGGCAACGTCTGCTTCTAGCCTGAGATGCTCAGGAAGGTTGCTGATCCTCTCTGTCTCACGTGGAGGATGAGAGATGGGAAGTGGCTTGGTTGCGGCACCTCTTCCAGGGAGGTCAGCTTTGCCCAGAGGGCAGCTGCAGAGAGCCTCTGCCCCTCCCCACAGGGGGTAGATGGCAGAGGCAGTTTCTGTGGTTGGCCACGCTTGAGACATGGAGCTGCTGCCATGAGCTTCCTTCTCACCTCCCTGCAGGTGTGCAGGGCCTAGCAGCCAGGTGCCTTGTCACAAGGCAGCTTTGCTGTTGGTATTCACGCAGGGCTTAGAGCCGCGCTGTCCAGGCAGACTCGTCCCACTGTCCAGGGCTGTGAATGGCAGAGGCCCTCTGAAGAGCAAGAAGTGGAGGTTGCTTGTCTGGAGCAGAAGCTCTCTCAGATGAGGGACCATCTCTCCCTCCTCAGAGGTCAACTTAGCCATTTGCCAGGGTCTCCCTGTGGGGACATGGCCTCAGCAGTGGCTATCTTGGTATTGTAGCCCCGTCGAGCCTTGGAGGTTTCTTTTGCTGCATGTGCACCAAATGTGCCACACCCCCCCCCCCGGCGCCAATGCCTTGGCCCATTTCCCAGATCGCTAGGTCTCCTGTCGGTGCCGTGTGGCCAGGCCATTCTGTTCCAGTCCCTGCTCCACCCTTGCAGTTATTCGAAGGTAGGCTCAGTGAAGTGAAGACACCAATACCCCCAGCACCCTCTGGGTGCCTATCTCTGCCATGGTGCAGACAGAGCAGTGCCTGTTTGCTCTTGCTTTTCAAGAAGTGTCTGCGGTGCTCTGATGCTTTTGTTAGCAGTAACTTACTGTGCACCTGGGCTCAGCCTGGTGCTGGAGCCACTGGGCTGGAGGGGAGGGGAACGTGTGTTGCATGAGCTCCGTGCAGAGCTCTCATGCTTGCCCTGGTGCACACGTAATCGTCGTAGCCCATGCGTGTAACTCGTGCTCTTGCTGCGTAGGTTTTCTCAACTGAGGGGCCTGAACCTGTCTCAGAACCGGCTGAGGGAGTTTCCCACATCGCTGTGCGAGATCCCCACGCTGATGGAGCTCAACCTGTCCTGCAATGGGCTCCATGACCTGCCCAGCCAGGTCGGCAAGCTGCTGAAGTGAGTATGTCCCCTTTGTGTTCACAGACCCCGTGGTTTGGGTACAGGTGTGGCCCGTGGGGTGGGTCCTCATGTCCCATGACCCCTCTGAGAGGTCCCCATCTTCACCACTCATTCACATAGATGCATCTCAGGAGGAAATGGTGGCAGCCTGAGAGCCAGGTGTGCCAATTCTCTTGCTGTCAGTGGTGAATGGAGTGCAGATAAAGGTGGTCGGCAAGGGCCTTGTTGCACCCGGATCAGATGGGGGCAACTTGAGCAGCTATCCACTAGCAGCGGCTGCTGCTCACCGATGGAGCTGTGCTTCAGCAGATTATGGTTTGGACAGGGCTGATCCTGCCTCAGGCTGGGGCGTGGCCTAGATGACCTCTGGAGGTCCCTTCCAGCCCCACTTCTCTATGAGTCTATAGCCCCGAGCTGCCCATATATCATGCTGCCCTTCTCAGGCTGTGGTTGTTGCAGCTCACAGCATATGGAGTCCATTTTAAGTGTGAACACACACTGATTTAGCAAAACAAACCTAGGGTAGGCTTTGCCCACAGGAGGGCACGGTCCAAGGACAAAGAATAGGAGCGATGCTGCTTGCTCCGTTTTTGCAGAGGCTGTGCATCCTTATAGCCACACATTGATAGTGGTTCTGCAGTGTTTCTCAAGGAGTATAGGATGTTATCTTTCATGCTGACACTGTTTCCTTAATGGTCTCTTGTCTTTATTGACTTGAATTTGGCCTGCAGCAACTTCTTGCCAAGGCCGGGTCAATGGTTCTGTCAGCATCCAGGTCCTGTGTGTCTGCTTAGATGAGCAACACAGCACTGCTCGAGCACAACATGCAGGAAGAGCCACTTGGCTGCAAAATCGGAGACCTTGCACAGCAGAGCATGGGTTCAGTGGGCAGGTGCTAGTGCACGCTTGCTTTGCCCTACACTTCCATCATAAATGCAGCTGGAGGCTGTGTCCAGCACACTCTTGGTACCACACATGTCCAAGGATTTAGGATTCCATAGAGGATCCCGCACTGCGCTGGTTTAGAAGCAATATGGGACCATCATAATGATGCCTACTCTCAGTAGAGCACAGAGCAAAGGTCGCCTGTGTTTTAACTTGGCATCACTTCCGTTGATTGTTTCACTGTGAGATCCTTTATTTGGGTGGACCTGATCCAGTCTTCAAATGGGACCTCCTGACTGTTGGTCTGTCAGGAAACAAGATGTTCCCTCCTGCGGGAATGCCTGTGAAACCCTTCTGAGGGGCCTGCCCCACGCGCCTGCAGGGTCTGTGGGAGTGATCCTCTTCCTTGTCCAGCTTTGTTGGGTGCTCAAGGGCTTGCAGGAAGATGTCTGTGCCAGGTTGCTATCCATTTTGCTAGAAATGCATCGGTGCCAACGTGTTAAGGGCTGCCACGGAGCTTGGACTTGCTCCCTGGGCATCCTCGCAAAGAGGTCACTGTGTAGCCAGGCTGGCTGCACTGCCAGGCATGCACGGAGCAGGTGTACGTGGGTGAGTGGGGCCAGCGTGTGGTGGCTTTCTGCTTAGTCTTCTCCGTGGCTTCCCTGGCCTCCTTGGAGAAGACAGTTCCCTTTGTAAAAGCCAGTCTGCTTTGTAGCATGGGCACTATACAGTGGTGTGGGACACCGTGCATTGCTGTGGGGCTAGTGCTTGTATCATACCTGCTGTCCCTGGGTTAGCTGACTGGCTGGCGATAGCGGTTGTGTCTGTTGTGTTTTTAATGGCTGTCACAGGGGCTCAAGCGCTGGGGACTCTTAGGCTGTAGAAATCCAAGGGAGTAAGTGTGCGCCATGTGCTCACAGTGAGCCAGTGTGACAGTGTTTCAGTTATATTTGCTGCCACTGATTTGGGGAACTGGTAGCTCCCAATCTACCTGCAGCTCAGTCCAGTACTTTGCAACCTGCCAGTTTAGACCCCAGACTCCTTAGGTGAGCAGCAAGGAGTGAGAAATGTCAGAACTCCCTGGCAGAGCTCCCTGTGCCATCCTTGGCGAGTGTGCCCTATGGCATCGCTGTAAGTGCAGCCTGCAGACAGGAGCCCCATGCTCAAAGCTCCCTGCCTCTGCCAGTGACAGCTCATCCAGTGCAGATCTCAGCATGCCTTGCATCTGCTAAATGTGAAACCTGGCTCGCTCCCACCCCTGAGCCCTCTCCATCCCTTGTCTGTGCAGTCTTCAGACCTTTGCTCTCGATGGGAATTGCCTCACGACCCTGCCAGATGAGCTTGGATGCCTGCAGCAGCTCAGCACCCTGGGGCTCTCCTTCAATGACTTCCACGATATGCCAGCCATCTGTGAGAAACTCCTCTCCTTGGACAAGCTGGCCATGGCGGGGAACCAGCTGGAGACCCTGGACTTGGGTGCGCTGAACAGAATGAGCCACATCAAACATGTGGATCTGAGGTGAGCTGCTGGCAGGTGCCCTGCAGGAGGGCTATGCAGTGCTCTGGCCCTGCTTAGGGGTGTGAAGGGCCCTAGAGAGCCAGGCTGACTGCGCCAAGCCAAGGCCGCAGAGCAGTGGTCAGGACTGGGGGGGGGGCACTGAACCACTGCTCCGGTGCCCCCTGAGCAGGGAGCGTGCTGGACTCGCCTCAGGGCAGCTGTTGCTGAGATTCCCAGCCACAGGCTGCGAGGGCTATGCGCTATCCCAGGACATGTGGCAAGGGCCTTCCCTGGACGCATGGCTGTACAGGACGGGTCTGACTGCCAGGCTCAGGCTCTGGACTGTCTTCTCTTAGCATGTGGGCAGCTGCCCTGCAGGGTCCCAAGCGTTACTCATGTAGAACCAGCCACGCAGCGGTGAACACTGCATGTTGGGCCCTGGGCCTGCTAGTGCCTGCCCCCGCCCACAAACCCCTGACTCCCTCTGGCCACTCCTGCCCTGGGCTGGTCTCCAAGCACCTGTTCCTAGGCCTAGGTGCCAAGTGGTCCCTCTCCCTACTTCCCTTTCCACTGCCTTCGGTGTCTCCTTCCCTGACTTGTGGACCCTGAACACTTAGACTGAACCAGCTGAAGGGGGCATCTGCTGACAGCCTGGAGGGGAACAAGTCTGTGACCCACTTGGATGTGCGGGACAACCAGCTGGCAGAGCTGGACCTGAGCACCCTGGGCAGCTTGGAGCAGCTGCACTGCGAGCGGAACCGTCTTCAGGAGCTGACGCTGAGCGGCTTCTCCCTGCGGGCCCTCTACGCCAGCCACAACCGTACGTCTGCTCTGCCCTCCCCCCGCAGGCACAGACCTGCTGCTGGGCACTGCCGGCTGGGGGCCGTGGGCCAGGCAGGCGGGGAAGGCGTGGTGGCTCAGACCCTGGGTGCTTGGAGCTCCTTGCACGGCTCTAGCTGGTGTGAGCTCCTGCAGTTCCTGTAATGTCACACGCGGTGGCTGCCTCGTGGGGCATAAAGCTGGGTCCTGTCACAGCATCTAGCCTCATGAGGGACAGTTTGTGGCATCTCCCCACAGCTGCCTTGGGTCCATGCAGGCATGCTTCTCAGTGGGAGGCCTGCCCCCAGCTCACCCCCAAGTGCTGCCGCTGTAGGAACAGGAGCCCCCAGGTGCACATTGGCAATACCCAAGGAGGGGCATGGCATGGCATGGCCTGGCTTTGCCCCCAGGCCTGCTCCCCTCAGCACCGCTCTCATGGTTGCCTGTTTCATTGATCAGGTCTGACCACAGTCAGTGTTTACCCGGTGCCAGGCCAGCTGACCTGCCTCGAGCTCTCCCGGTAAGTAGCTGCCGCCGTCGGGCACAGCACTGAATCCTGGGCTGCTGGGAGAACTTGGGGGGGGGGGGGGGATTGTTGCCAGGGCTGTGCCTGGGGCAGCTCCTGTGGAGTGGATGCTGTTGATTCCAGGGTTGCTGCTGCTCTGTGCCCGAAGGGAGCTTGCGTCTATGAAGCCAGTAGCTCGGGTCTCCTCCCCCTCCCCCAAGATGTGCTTTCAGCAAGGCAGCATCTGCCCCTGCACTGCACCCTTTTACTGTGCACACGCTGATGCCCACAGCATCTCCCTCTGGGCCCAGGGCTTGGCATGTCCCTGGTGCTTCCTTTTGATGGCAGGAGGCCTGTATGCCTCGAGCCAAGCTCTGCCGTGGCCTTTAGGAGCACCTGCATGGGGGAGTCCCACCCTCTACATCAGTATGGTGGAACCTGGCCCTGCTCCCCTCTCTGCACAAGTGCGGCTCTCCTCCGTGGAGTTGAGTCCATCTTAAGTAGTAATGGGACAATAGGGATGCTTTCTGTATAGGCCTCAGCACCCCCGGGAGGTGTTGTACCAGGGTAACTGCACTGGCTTGGTTCCTGCCTTGTCACATGCCAGCATAGCTTCCCTTGTGGACGGCCTGCTTGTCCTGGGCGTGTCTCTGGGTCCTGGTGGGGAAGGCCATGCACTTACTGGTAGAAAAGGCCTGTGACCACATCTGTGTCACCTGCTGTATTAGGCAGCGTCTCATTAGGGTATCTGATTTGTAGCACACAAGAGTCAGGCGAGGCTCAGTCCCCTTCGCAGCCAGACAGCCTCAGCAGAGAACGGAGAGGCTTCCTGAGAGGTCAGAGCTCATCTATGTGCTTATCACCGTGGCAGTGGCGCGCCGCACCTGTGTGGGTTTATGGCCTGCTGCACTCCGCAGACTTTGCCCTTGCAGCGCAGTGGGGGCCACGCATGTTCTTCCTTCATGCAGACTCCTGCTTCCCTCAGGGTGGATTTATCCAAGGCAGAAGGGAGGATGAGCCAGGCCAGGATTAGCAGCGGGAAGTTAACAGGACTGAGGCTTGCAGGCCTCAACCACAGCTCCATAGCAGCAGGGTGCTGACCAAGTACCACAGATGTGGAGCAGAGCCTGGTGTTGTTTAGGGCTGGCAGAGAGGGGGCAAGCACATGTCCCAAGGAGGCGGCTAGCAGCACGGGGTTTGCCCTGTGCCAGCGCTCCAGCAGTGTGCTGCAGGCAGAGGTGTGCCCATAGCATGGCAGGTGTTACTGCTGCTCCCATCTGGTTAGCTCAGGTGGCCAGAGCCTCCTGTGCCAGCTAGTGACCAGCAGGTGTACCAGGGTGCCCGGCAGTGTGTACTGCCTGTGGAAGCTGACGGCTGTGCTGCTGCCCTCTTCCCTGCTGATGTTCCCCTTCCCGGCCAGCCTGGTCCACTGATTAGCCTGAGCAAGCGTCAGCAGTGTGTCCTGCTCTGGTCACCCTTTCTGGTGTGGGGGGAGGAGTGAGGCACAAGTGACCTTCTGAGACTGCAGCAAGCTATCCAGGAAATGCAGCTCCTCCTCTGATCAGCACTGGGAGACAGGCGTCAAAGGAGAAGTAACACTTCCCCGACCGGCTGCCTTCTCGGTCACTAGCTCAAAGGTGCCTGCGTCAGGAGACCCTGTTCTGGTGCTGTTGGCTGGGCCACGGGGTAGGCAGCTCAGCACAGGTCCTGCAGAGAGCCACCCATCTCGCTAGTGCTGATCTGTTCCCCAGCTGCCAGGCTCAGCAGAGACGACAGACCGAATGGCCCCTGGTCTGACCTGCCCCTTCCCTCCCACGTGGGGCCACATAGAGGTTGCTGCTGGTGCTGTAGGTGAAACCAAAGGCTTGTCATCAGGACATCACCACTTCTACACCCTACACTAAGTGGCTCAACCTAAGTGACCGCTGCCTCCTGGGCTGGTCCGGCTGCCCGTAGGCTCATGTTGGGGCCCCACCTCACTGAAGCGCTGCAGTAAAATGCCCACGTGGGCAGACCCTGAGCCAGGAGAGCTCCAGGTCGTGCCACCCCCTGCCACTCGCATGTTCTCCTATCTCCTACCAGGAACCAGTTGCAGTGTGTCCCTGACTGGGCCTGTGAAGCAAAGAAACTGGAGGTGTTGGACCTGAGCTTCAATCTCCTCACAGAGCTGCCGTCGAGGTAAGAGGAACCCCCATCCCTGCCTAAAGCTGGGACCCCTCCAGGGCATGAGCTGGGAGGGAACTCCCAGCCCCGTGCTTTCAGTACCAAGCTGCTTTCTTGCATGATGGCTGCTGGTCAGACTCTTTGTAGCTCTTGGGGCCAGCAGGGAGGCAGAGTCCTCTCCCTTTCAGCATGACAGGAGCCAGAGAGTTTACCCCGTGACTTCAGCCTCTGCACCAGCAGTTCATGGTAGAGCAGGAGCGTTACTGCTGTGCTATCTTAGTGCTTGGGGTACCAGTCGTGTGCTGGGGCCGCAGTGTGCTAGGGCCTTTGCAAACACAGAGCAAAAGTCTCTGCCCAAAAGAGCTTTCGGTCTGCATCTAAGAGGAAAAGCAGGTGGTCGTGGGCAGTGAGGCACTGTGTCAGCATGGCAGGCAGTGGTCCTAGCATGCTGGCTGCTCAACTTGTCTAGGTTCTTGTATGCATCACAGCAAAGGAGAGTTTTGGAGGGCTGATAACAAGGCAACTTGGCCTTGTATTTGTCTGTGTGGGCCGCACATGTCATAGCCAGGGACAGGGCAGTGTAGCAAACGGGCACAGCGGTGAGTGCCAGGACAGGATCTGGATGGATGAGCCAGGCTGTGTGTTGGTGCCTGGTGCCGAAGGAACTGGCAGGAGTGAGAGGCAGGAGCATCTCCAGCCCTTGAGCAGCAGAGCTCAAGGGCTGGAAAAACCCTTCTCCCCCCGTCCCCACCTTGCAAGGCTGCTCCACTGGCTGAGTATCCCCAACACTGTTTTTCAGGTCTAGTGGCTCTGTCTTCAAGACCTTAGATCTGTGATTCCTAACTGGGGTGCCACGAGGCCCTCTCATGGGGCCACAGAGTGCCATGCAGTGTTGGCACTCGGGCATGCAAACAGGAGTCGGGGAAAAACGTAGGATTTGCAGATATGAATCCAGAGCATTAAAAACATTCTGCCCTGTTGTGCTTATGCCGAGTTCTTTGCAGTAGAAAAATCACTGTAGTGTTAGAAAATGAGGGCTGGAAGGGGCCTCCTAGGAGTCATCTAGTCCAGCCCCAACTAGATCATCCCAAGCAAGGCTTTGCCTAGCCAGGTCTTAAACACCTCCAAGGATGGAGACGCCACCACCTCTCTGGGTAACCTGTTCCAGGGCTTTACTACTCCTCAAGTGAGAGAGTTTTTCCTAATATCTAATCTCAACTTCCCTTGATGCAACTTGAGCCCATTGGTCCTTGTTCTGTCATCTGCCACCACTGAGTACAGCCCAGCTCCATCCTCTTTGGACCATTCTTCCCCCACCCGCTTTCAGGTAGCTGACAGCTGCTATTCGATTCCCGTCAGTCTTCTCTTCTTCAGACTAAACAAGCCCAGTTCCCTCAGCCTCTCTTCACCAGTCCTGTCCCCCAGCTCCCCAACCGTTTTTGTTGCCCTCCGCTGGACTCTCTCCAATGTGTCCACATCCTTTCTGTAGTGGGGGCCCACAGCTGGACACAGGACTCCAGATGTGGCCTCTCCAGTGCTGAAGAGGGGAAGAATAACTTTGCTCGATCTACCGGCAATGTTCCTACCGATGCTGTTAGCCTTCTTGGTACCAAGGGCACACCGCTGGCTTCTGTTCAGCTTCTTGTCCACTGTGACCCCCAGGTCCTTTTCTGCAGAGCTGCTGCCCAGCCCATCACCCCCAGCCTGTACTTGTGCATGGGCTTGTTCCTTCCTAAGTGCAGGACTTTGCACTTGTCTTTGTTGAACCTCAGGAGATTTATTTTAGTCCAGTCCTCCAAATGTGTCAAGATGACTCTGAATCCTAGCTCTACCCTCCATTTTAGATAATCTGCAGATTTGCTGAGGGTGCACTCCATCCCATCTTCCAGACCTCTGATGAAGATATTGAACAAAACCAGCCACAGGACCAACCCCTGGGGCACTCCACTTGATACCGGCTTGATTACTGGCTGCCAAATAGGCACTGAGCCATTGATCGCTCCTGTCCGAGCCCAACATTTCAGCCAGTTTGTATCCACCTGACAATCTGCTCATCCATCCTATACTTCCTTAGCTTTCCTATGAGATTGTCGTGGGAGATTGTATCAAAAGCCTTGCTAAAGTCAAAGTATATCACATCCACTGCTGTCCTTACATCCACTGATTATTTTTCCATAGTCAAGAAATGAGTGAAAACTATGAGATGGTCTTGAACACAACAGGGGGTGCCTTGAGTCTAAAGAGATTGAGGACCACTGCCTTTGATCTTTTTTTGCCTTTTGTGCTACATTGGAGAGCTCCCCTCCATCAGATATCTCTTCTATATGTAGATTGTCAGGCCCCTGAAAGAAGGCTTCAAGTGAAAAATAATCCTGGTTAAAAGGGAGATGGAAGAGCAAAGAGAGAAATTATTAATGATGATGCAGAAAAAGGCAGTCAGAAGCAGTCAATAAAGCTTGTGTTCTGTATTTGGAAGAAGCAGGATACTGTATTATACCCTAGTAAGGACTTCTATGTCAGCTGGCAAAGTTAAGTATTTTTAAATAAACAGGACTGAAGAACTTGCTCCAAAAGTTATAAAAGAATTGCTTGAGGAGTCTCCTGAGCCTCTAACACCGATTTTTCTGACCATATTTAGGAAAATGAGGGAGGTTCAAAAAAAATGGCGACAAGAGAATATGGTGCCAGTGTTTAGAAAAAGTGTGTAGGGTGTGATTTGGCATACTCTGGGATGGCTAGCCTGGTGTCATTCCTGGGCAGCACATGATCAGGCTGATATGAGACACAGGCAATAAAAATGAACTAAGGCAACAAGGCAGGGCAGTCATGGTGTTGCAGAGAAATGTTCTTGTCAAACAAGTTTAACGGCACGGTTCGGTGAAGTTACAAAGTTTGGTTGTTAAAGGTAATCAGTGTAATAGACTTGTGACCTGCATGACATTCTGATTTAAAAAAAAAAAAAAAAAAAGCTGTAGAAAATTGATATGGCCCATCTTAAATGATTAAACACTAGCCATGTGCTAGGTCTTGGGAAGTCATTGTAGGTGCGCATTGTCATCTATTGGTGATGTCCCACAGAGATCTGTTCTTAGTCCAGTGGTTCTTAAATCACTATCCATAGTCTGGAAGAAAATACGAGTCAGTGCTTGTAAAATTGACCAAAAAGAATTGGTTGAGTGGTAAGTTGTTGTTGTGATGTGTGAATGAGACGGGCCCGCTGGGCTGTTCTGTACAGTGGGTGCATTCGACCAGGGTGTTTTCAACAGAGCTAAATGCAAAGTCATGCATTAGTGAGAGACAATGTAGGTCCCACGTTGGAAATAGGAGACTGTCCTGGAGGCAGGGCTCATTAGGGCTGGTGTCTCACTGCCTAGCTGTAACTACTGCTTGGGTGCGGAGGGAAGAGGGTGAACACGTAGGTGTGTATGCAGCGAGCAGTGAGTGGAGGGAGGGCGTGTGGTGTCAACACACTACAGTGTTGGCAAGACCAGTCCTGTCTCTACACCCTGCTCTGTTTCCGCATTTCAGAAGGACGTTGATGAAGCAGAGCAGGTCAGAAAAGAGCCACCGGCATGACTCAGGATCTGGACCGACCTGCCTTAGGGCAGGAAGCTAAAGCAGCTACACTTAGCTTACTGAGGAGGTAGAGCATGGGGCTGAATGCTGTCTCAGCGCCCCCAGCTGTGAGCAGCCTGCTCTGGATCCCCAGCCATAGGCTGAGCAAGCTCCAAGGGCGGATGCTGACATGGACACGTTGCTGTAGGAGTGAGGGGCAGCGTTCACACTGGGGCTGTTAGCTGGCAGAATAAGGGACCACGGGACATGGCTCTCCAGCATTGGCAGTCCTGTGCCGAGCACAGAGGTCTCTCTGCGGGACCCTTTGCTCGGACAAAAGCAGCGGGCTTGCAAACGTGGGGCACGGTCCCCTGGCCAATACCATGCAGGATCACGGCAGCCACTCCTGACCTGAGCCCCGGCTGCCTGTGTGGTGCTGTGGATGCCCCGAATATGCAGCCTGGACCAGGCTCACGTGGCAGCGGAGAACCCATCCGTTAAAGTTCTGCTCCTTGCAGGCAGGGGCAAGGGGAACAGTAAGGATGTGTCCAGGCATAGCGGACGCAGCCCGATCTTCCTCAAGCACTGCTGCAAAAGGCCCTAGCACCCATGAGAGGGTTCTCTGGCTGGGGCCTTCCTTCTCGTGGAAGCTGGGGAGCAAGGTTCCCCTCCTTACCCCCCAGAGTAGGTGCTGGGCCAGGAGCAGGGAGGATGATGAGGGCATCTCCTCAGCTGCCCTTCAGAGCTGCAGGCAGAGCCCTGTGGCCTGGCCTCTTTCACATGCTGCCATCAGCAGCTGATGGGCCCCCTGAGACCAGCAATGAAGTTAGCACCTCACTGACAAGGGCAGGGCCGTCCTGTGCCACCTGCAGCCTTCACGGCTTGAGAGGTCTCTCAGCAAGCCTGATGAGGCCAGAGAAGGCCATGACAGCCTGGACACTAGTGCTGGGTGCGGGTGAGCCCCTAGTCTGCATGTCAGCGCTCCAGAATGGTCTCTGGTGCCCAGCAAATGTGGCTAGGGGATACAAGGCAGCCCCTTTCCGATCCTTCCAGCCCCGCCATCCGCCCTGGAGCGTGTTCGCAGCACCTGCCTGCGGCCATGCCAATGCATGGGCACTGATCCCCAGCTGCAGCGGCCTAGGGAGCAGCGCTGGGGCCCGTGTGTCTGCAGACACGTCCCTTAGTCCAGGTGGCTCGGCAGGCCATTGCCCTGGTGTGTCCTAAGCATCCCGGGGCCAGACTGGTGTGGGGCAGCTTGCTCACTCCGCTTTCTTCCTTCCAGGCTCCTGAGCAGCCTGAGCCTGAGGAAGCTGATGGCCGGGCACAACCAGCTGCAGAGCCTGCCACCGCTGCTGGAACATGTTCCCCTGGAGGTGCTGGACCTCCAGCACAACCTGCTGACCAGGCTCCCTGACAGGCTCTTCTCCAAGGCACTGAAGTGAGTGGGGGCAGCAGGCACTGTGGGGGGCAGGTGGAGGGCCGATGTCCTGTGGCTGTCTCTCCTTTGGAGTATCATGGGCTGGGACTGTTTGCATGACTGCCTCAGCCAGGTACTGGGAGCTTTATTGCTGGTTATACAAGAGATAATAGAGTGGGTTTGCTTTACACGACAATGATCCAGGAGTTCTGGCGACCACCAGGCTGGGGCCTGAGGGAGCCCGCTGGCTCCCACACCCTAGCATGGAAGGTGGCCCTGTCTGACTCGCCTGCCCATGCAGGAGCGGCCTGGAGTTGCTGCTGATCCCCTCCGAGTCTTGCCCAGGGAAGAGTCCTGTCTTCAAGGCCAGGTCCAAGGGAGGAGACAGGCTCTCTGGTGCCACAGCATTGTCTCCTCGAGGAGCCCTGTGCCAGAGGGGGTGGTTGCAGTGGAAATGAGGCAGCTGCCTGTGCAGGTGTGAGCTGTGGCCTTCTCGGGCCTCAGACCCCAGGCAGGGCTCAGCTGTGCAGTGCTGCCCTGCCCGCCCATTGCTGTCTCCACCTGGGCTCAGCAGAACCCAGCTGTTGCCGCCTCCACACGGGGATGCTCCTCTCCCTGCAGAGCACCGTGCTCTTGTAACGGGCAGGTCAGTGGCAGAGCCCTGCAGTCTGGAGCCGGCGGGAGCTGCCCTCCAGCTTGCTGTGGCCCCGTCCTTGTGTGTGGGGTCACTGTGGCTGTTGTCTCCAGGGGGGTTTGGATAGGCTCTAATGTGTCTGACCCTGCTGCCATTAGTCTCAGGTACCTGAACGTGTCGGCCAACAGCCTGGAGTCCCTGCCCTCGGCCAGCACGGGCGAGGAGAGCCTGAGCCTGCTGCAGCTGCTGTACCTGACTAACAACTGCCTCACAGATCAGTGCATCCCTGTCCTGGTGGGGCACCCGAACCTGCGGATCCTGCATCTGGCCTACAACCAACTGCACACCTTCCCTGCCAGGTCTGTGCACATGGTGGGATGGGGGCAGTGCTTGGCTGCCAGGGCTGGAGGGGGGCCAGGCTGGGCTCTCATGAGCAGGGGCCCTCACTCTGGCATGGTGATAAGCATCTCCCTCCACTCCAGCTCCATTTGGGACCCTGAGGACAGTGCAGCTACTGTGGTTCTGTAGCCCCAGTGCCTGCGATGGGCACATGTGCAGGGGTGGCCGGGGAGAGTTGTGCTGGTGCCTTCAGCGCAGCAGACACGGGCCTGTGCTCTGTAACCCCATCTGGCTGATTCGCTGGATTCACCTGGCCTCTCGTGACCATCAGGCTTCTGTGCAGAGCAGCTTAGTGCTCGCTCCCAGCCTGACCTGCTTGATGAGCAGGGGATAGCAGGCTGCTGTGGCCTCTCAGTTCGTGGCTGGTTTCCCAGGCCTGGGTTCATTCTGGTCCATCTTCCCTGAGCCTCTCCTGCTTGTCTGCAGTGTGTGGATCCGTTGGCACCAGAACGGGCTGTAGGTTTGCTGTTAAGCCCTGACCACTGCTGTACACAGGGCGGAGCACCCCTGCCTGCCCTGCTGGATAGTTCCCCTGGGACCTGTCCTCCTTGAATTAAATAATGCATTACTGTTTAACCAGTGTCACCTAGTGCAAAGCATTGCAGAAACCAGTGATGTCAGTGCAGTTGTCCTGCCAGCCAGACTTGGAGTCTTGGCAAGAATAACATCAAGTTTAACTGGCAGACCCATTCCCATAGAGCCATGTTGATTGTCACTAATTACGGAGCCAGCACGTAACCCCTGGCTGCCTGTGTTCCACACCAGCCTTGCCAGGAAACTCCTAGTGTTGATGCCAGCTGCACCATCTGCTGCCTCCTCGTCTCCTTGCTCACCCTTACCACATGTACTGGTGCAACGCTGGCTTTTTGATGCTGTCTGGGACTCTCCTCATGCCCCAGGGTTTGCCAGGCATTTGCACCCCAAACTCAGCCCCTGACCCATTCCCTTGGACACAGCCTGGGCTCAGGGGACTTCCCTGTTTGCCTCATGCCTAGAGGGGGCAGGAGCGACGGGATCAGTGCATGCCCCATACTCCAGGCAGTTCCTGTTCTCTCTGGGCATACTGCTGGTCTCCCGGCCATAGGTGAGGAGTGTAGCTAGAAGACAGCTTGGCCTCTCCTGCTACTGCAGCCCTGCTTCTCCAGCAATGAGCCCTGCATCCCCTGCCCATGCATGCTGGAGGGGCTGCAGTCAGGCTTGCTGGAGCTGCTGTGTCTGGTTCCCTTCAGCAAACTGAGCAAGCTGGAGCAGCTGGAAGAGCTGAACCTGAGTGGCAACAAACTAAAGACGATTCCTACAACGATTGCAAACTGCAAGCGTCTGCACACACTCCTCGCCCACTCAAACGAGATCAGCATTTTCCCAGAGATCCTGCAGCTGCCCCTCATTCAGGTACCTCCCCTCACCCCCAGCCCTGCCAGGTGAGGGGCAGGAGGCTGCTGGCTGTTTCCAGGTCTGTACACTCAGGCGTCTCATTCTGCCTTTCGCAGCGTGGCTCTGAGGTGATCAGCAGCAGGATGCGGCACTGGGCTGACCATGCAGGTCGGCTGCACTGGGTCTGGGAATGGGCAATGGGGCCCCAAGGGCAGGGCTTTGGAGGCATGCAGGGAAGGGCTGACAGGGCCCTGTGGTCCCCCGCTGACCCTCCTGCCCCCCCCTGTTCACAGTTTGTGGACTTGAGCTGTAACGAGCTGACAGAGATCCTGATCCCAGAGGTGCTGCCGGCTGCCTTGCAGGAGCTGGACCTGACTGGGAACACAAACCTGGTGCTGGAGCACAAGACCTTGGACATCTTCAGGTGAGCGGTGGGCGTGGAGGCTGCCCCAAGCCTGCTCGGGCTGGTGCAGAAGCGATGCAGCAGGGCACTGCCTGGGCCCCTCGCACTGTGTCCCAGCCCCTCCGCTCACAGCTGGCCAGGCTGCCCATGTCCCCTCCAGGCGCAGGCTCTGGCTCCGCTCTAGCCAGCCAAGCAGAGGAGCTGTTGCCTGCACCTGGCAAGTGCCTCACTGCCTCAGGTCAAGGCCTCCCTGCAAAGGCCTCATCCTTCACCTCCCTCCCTTGGCTCCATATCACCCTGGGGTGCTCTGTTGCAGGGCCAGGCTGGGGTGGGGTGGCCACTAGCCTTGCAGTTGCACACTGGGCAATTGGCCGTGGGAGCAGCATGATAACCGGGCTCCTCTCCACAGCCACATCGCCACCCTGAAGATCGACACCAAGCCCGGGCTCACAGCTGATGCTGCGCTCACCTCCCCCTTCTGGAGCCACGGGCTGGCTGAGATGGCCGGGCAACGGAACAAGTGAGCAGAGCCACAGCCCCCAGGGCATGGCAGTGCTGGCTGTACCCCACAGTCACAGCCAGCTGCCCTGGGACCCCCGCTTCCTTGGACTCCCTAGCACCCGTACCAGTCCTGGCAATAGGCTTCTCTGGCCCAGCTGCCCTGCCCTGCCCTACCCTACCCTACCCTGAGGGAGTTGCCCCCACCCAGTATGGGGGAGGGAGGGAGGCAGCCCCGGTAGCTGCAAGCTAGTGTGGAACTCTGGAGGTGGGTTCATGTCCCTAATCTGCCACAGAGACCTCGAGTGAGTCCCTTAGCTTCTCCAGGGAGCAGCTCCTGCCTGGGCTGGGTAATGGCCCAGCTGCACAGAGCAACATGAGGGGCATGGTGAGGTGCTGGGCTATGATGGGGCGGGGGCCTTGGATAATGGCCGGTGGCACGGCCCCTCCCCTGCAGGCTGTGTGTGGCGTCCCTAGCGCTGGGGAGCTTTGCCGAAGGCACAGAGGCCGTATATGGCATGTTCGATGGCGACCGCAATGAGGAGCTACCGCGCCTGCTGCAGTGCACCATGGCAGACGTGCTGCTGGAGGAGCTGCAGCAGTCCAACACGGACACGGTCTTCATGACCAGCACCTTCCTGGTCTCCCACAGGTGGGTGCAGGCATGGGTGCAGCCGCTGCAGGCTTCCTGGGTGCAGGTTCACCCAGACCTGCTGCTGGGCAGCAAATGAGGTCCTTCCAGGCCATGTCCCCTGGAGTGAGAACAGTGTGCCTGGCCAGTGTGTCGCCCTGGGGCCTGGCTCCTCCTGCGTTCCTGCCCTGCTCCCCCACACCACTCCTTGCCTGGGCTCCAGACAGACTGGGCAGAGGTGATCAGCAGCAGATATCCAAGCTCTTGTGCTGCTGCTCTCCCTCCTGTCCTGCTCCGAGACCTGCTCTTCGGCCACTGAAGTAGACTCTGCATGGAGCATGGCTTGTGCACGCTGCCACCTCAACGCCGTGGCCTGCCTGCCCAGCTGTGCACACTGTCACCCCAATTCTGCAGCCTGCCCACTGTGCCATTGAGTGGAGCCCTCCCCTGCCACCTGGCTTGGCAGATGCCCCTGGTGCCCTGGCTGTTGCAGCCTGGCAGCAGGGAGGCTTCAGGCCCAGCCCCAAAGCAGCCTGATGCTCAGGGGGAGCCTTGCACCCCAGGGGTGCATATGCATCTCAGCCACTCTGTACAGCCAGTGCTGGGGAGTATCCTGTTGGGAAGAGGATGGGCTTGGCACACAGCCCTGCAGGGCACTGGATCCCAGGGTAGGGCCATGTGCGTGTGGGGTGAGCTGGCAGCCCATGCTGCTCTCTCCAGACTGCGTGTCCCTGCACAGGAAGCTGGGGATGGCCGGCCAGAAGCTGGGCTCCTCCGCCGTCCTGTGCTATATCCGGCACGACACCGCCGAACCAGGCAGCAGCTTCACACTAACACTGGCCAACGTGGGGACGTGCCAGGCCGTCCTGTGCCGTGGTGGGAAGCCACTACTACTCTCCAAAGTCTTCAGCCTGGAGCAATGCCCCGAGGAGACCCGGAGGGTGCAGGAGCAGAAAGCCATCATCACTGAGGTGGGTCCCACCCCACTGCACCCCTCTGCGGTAGCAGTACTGTGCCTGGTGGTCCTGCTGCACAGCATCCACCCAGCTGCGGCCTGGGGACTGTGGTCACGTGCTCTGGGGACAGTCAGCCAGCAGTGGCCTGGGAGCTGATCTCGCAAGTCGCAGCTACACCTGTAGGCATGTGGCTCACTCCCCACTTGGCCTGGGTGTGAAAGCATAACCAATAGCTCCTCCCCACCCAGAGCCAGTTGCACAACCTTCCTGCACGGCTGCAGGCATGGCCCATGTGTACATGCATGTGTGCATGCCTGCCTACGCTTCACGCAAGCTCTGCTGTCTCTTGTCCCCAGGACAACAAGGTGAATGGTGTGACCTGCTGCACCCGCCTGCTGGGCTGCACCTACCTGCACCCCTGGATCCTGCCCTGGCCTCACGTGTTCTCTGTGCCACTGAGCGTGCAGGACGAGCTGCTGCTGCTGGGGAACAGGGCGCTCTGGGAGCATCTCTCCCCCACGGAGGCTGTGGGCGCTGTGCGCCACCTGCATGACCCACTGGCTGCTGCCAAGAAGCTCTGCACTTTAGCCCAAAGCTACGGCTGCCAGGACAATGTGGGCGCAGTTGTGGTGTGCTTGAACATCGGTGAGGACAACTGCACCTGTGAGGGGCAGGGTCTTGCTCTGCCAGGCCCGGGCGGCTTCCTGCCCCTGGCCAAGCCAGCCACACCCTCCTCCAGCAGTGGCATCGCCTCCGAGTTCAGCAGCGAGCTGTCAGCCTCTGAGGTCAGCAGTGAGGTGGGCTCCACAGCCTCCGATGAACACAGCACAGCTGGCCTGGACGCCAGCCTCCTGCCTCGGCCCGAACGGCACTGCAGCCTGCACCCTCCGCCTCCACCCCCACCCAGCATTTTCCAGCGCCAGCCGTCCTGTGCCACCTTCTCCAGCAACCAGTCTGACAACGGGCTAGACAGTGATGATGAGCAGCCGGTGGAGGGCGTCATGACTAACCAGGCCCCCCCCCTGCCACAGGCCGAGGACAGGGGCCCTGAGGATGATGCCAGCGGCCTCGTTCTCCATATCTGGAGGCAAAACAGTGCCGGCAGCAGCCTCCTGCCTGCCGTGGCCCGGGAGAGGGGGGGCGAGCTGCAGAAGTCACCCTCCACGTGCTGCCTCTATGGGAAGAAGCTGTCCAATGGCTCCATCGTGCCCCTGGAGGAGAGCCTCAACCTCATTGAGGTTGCTATGGAGGCGCCCAAGAAGAAGACGGGCTATTTTGCTGCCCCCACCCAATTGGAGCCTGAGGACCAGCTGGCGGTGCCACCGCATCTGGAAGAGGAGGTGAAGGAGCAGATGAAGCAGCACCGGGAGAGCGGGGCAGAGCCGGCAGCCAGCGAGAAGGCTGTGGCTGCCCCAGCACCCCCAGAGGAGTTCGACACGGCTCTGTGACCCTGCAGGGTGGCTCACATCTGTCCCAGCAGCACTGGAGCCAGGGTCTGTAGGGAGAGTACGGGCATCAGCTCCCTCCCTGCTGGAGCCAACAGCAGGCCTGGAGCTGTGCTCCCCGGGCTACCTGCTCCAATGGTGGAGTCCCAGCCACTGCAAGAGCCCATGGTCCTCAGCCAGCTGGTGTGGGCAAGGCTGGTGGCTCTGTGCACTGGTGCCCCTTCTGTTAGTCTTGTCCCTCTCAGGCTCGTCAGCTCTCCCAGGTGACGGGCAGGCAAATGGGGTGAGGGGGCCACAGCGGTGCTTGCGGAGCCCCGCAAAGCGCACCTGCCCCAGCTGGCAGGAGGGGTCTGTCCCAGCGGAGCTCGGCAAGGCCTGGCTGGGGGCCGACTCCCACACACATTGCAAGCACTTTCATGGACTGCACTCGAGCCAGCCTGCTCCCACCTGCCCAGCACTTTACTCCTAGGGCAGGGGGAGGGGCGCCGCAGTATGCGGGATCGCCCGCGGGTATTGTTTGGCACTGCGGGACAGGGCCTCCGTGCCCCGGGCAGGCACAGCCATGGGCACTAGGGCGCCTTGATAGGGGGTCAGCCAGGGCAGGGAGGGAACGGGGGAGCTCCTTCCCCTTGGGATGGGTGTGGGTGGGGAAACGGTGCAGCTCTTGGGCCCAGGAGAGGTTGGGGAGGGGTTTGGCTATCTCCAGGAGAGGCACAACTGTGGGCAGCACACGGGGCTGGGGGTATGAGGACGGGGCACTGAGCACTCCAGCAGGAGGAACCCCTTGTGGGCCCAGAGCCTGCGCTTTCCCACGTGGGGGCCTTGACCAGGAGGCACCAAGGCTGAGGGCATCGCCTCCATCCCTGGCAGCAGCGAGGTCAGGGCTGCCCATGGCCTGGAGGGAGCTGCAAGATGCAAGCGTCTGCTGACTCCAGCTCCAGGTCCAGCACATGTCCATGCTGGGAAATCACTAGCGGCAAATGCAGGTGGCTCTGGGCTAGGGGATGCTGACCTGCCGCATGGCATCTCCTAGCGCTGCTCCTGCAGCCGAACCAGAAACAGCTGCCAGGCTGCACCCCGGGTGGATCTGCCCCTGCCTCAGCACCTGCGGTCAGTGCTCTGGGCTGGGGGAGCTCTGAGGGGCAAGACAGCCCTGGAGCCTCATCACACCCCTCCTGGGCAGTAGGGCCCCCAGAATTTATGTTTTGGAGAAAGTCTGAGAAACTTTTCCAAAGCATTTCTAGAGGTTTGGGGTGAGGTTTCCATGTCAAACCCAGGTCCAGTCTGAGCTGGGATACTCTAGGGAGCATGAGCATGGTTTGTCTGTCAGAGCAGGGTGGTGGAGGAGGAGGTTGTTCACAGTAAAAATCGCTCTAGCCCAGTCTTCCCTGGGAAACACGGTCCTTCTGCCGTGCATGTGGGCAGGTGCGACAACTACCACCGGGTCCAGCCAGGACTTTACTGTGTGGTTGCTGCCACGCGTTAGCAAATGTTGTGGAAAACAAGAGGAAAGAAATGTTCCTAGCATGGATTTGGCTCTGAGCTTCATGGTTTCTTGTAACGTTTCATTTAACCTTGGAAATTGGAAGGAAAACTTGCTATTTGGATTTAGAGAATGAGACGAGTGCCTGAATGGGGCAGGGCAAAACACCATGGGAAGGGCAGAGAGTTCCTGTCTCATTTATCTAGGAGTCCTCAGCAAAAATGGGGAAGATCAAAAAGTTCATTGTAAAACTCCAGGCCCTTTCCAGCCCCTCCTGACAGTAGCAGAGGTGGCTGTGCCTGATGTAAGGGCTGTGGTGGGTCCTTGCCTCCCCTGAGCAGCCAGCAGTCGCCAGGCCCTAGCATAGGGCAACTTGACCTACACAGTCCTGGATTTAGGTGCTGGTGGGACGAGCTGCCCCTCTGCCCACGTAAGAATGGAGCAGGCTCTGGGCACTTGCCCATGCGGGATGTCTGGGGTCTATGCTGGGCCTTAGTCTGGGGTGAAAGATCCTGCATGTGCCTGACCACAAATTAGTCTGAGCCAGGAACGCCGCAGGGAGCAGAGGCAGTGCCCGAGCAGCTCCGCTCAGGAGCAGGCAGACCCAGGGCAGCAGCTCCCAGTGCTGGGCTGGCGCTCGGGGCCAGGCCCGCGGTGCAGTGATTCCCACCTGGGGCTGTCCCTGCTGTCCTGGCACAGTGCAGTGGTGGCTGCCAGACACCCCCAGCCAGGGCAGCAGCCCCAGGTTCACCCAATGGAGCAGTGGCAATACAGGCAGCTGCCCTGGTCCAGAGCTGGCCAGCTGCACCTCTGCCCCCCCCTTCCTGGTACCCTGCTACAAACAGCCCGGTTCTGCGCGGCATTGCCTGGGCTGCTCCTGTCCTGCCCTGCAGGGCAGCAGGTTCTTGGTCTTACCCCCTGGCTGCTTCCTCTCAGCTCCCTAGCCCTGGGCCGGGCCAGCTGTGAGGAAGTCGTCTCCTTCCCCCACCCACCTGGACTGGCTTTGGGCCACTGCATGGGCTGTGCACTGAGGTGAGAGGAGACATAGGGCAGAGGAGGGGGCATGGGCACTGCCTCCCCTGCTGCCAGCGAGCTGGTCAGGGCCAAGGCTGGCTGTGCTGGTGTGCTGGAAGGAGCAGGCCGTCCCTGGGAAAAGACGCCCATGCGGCCGTGGGCTGCTGGTGCCGATCGGCCCCCTTGGGACATGCACTTCCACGGCGGTGGGTCCCGTGAAGGCGCTGCCTTCCCTGCTGCCCTGCGCCACCCTGCAGGGCACAGCAGAAGGCACCGGCAAGAGCGAGCCAAGCCAACAGTATTGGGGGGCAGCCCCTGGCGCCCCCTGACACTCCTGAGCCGGGAGGGGGCATCCTCCTTCCTGGAAGTGAGGAACTTCAGGAACCCCCTGCCCGGGAAGCAGCTGCCGCAGGCCTCTGCCCGGCCCCATCGAGGTGGGGTGCAGGGGGGGAGCTCTGCTTGTCCTGGACACGGCTTCTGCGTCACTTGCCAAAGGGCCGCCGGGGGCAGCGGCTCACGCCGTGGGCTCTGCGCAGGCCTTCGTGGCCCTGTTGCAGGCTGAAGCCTCATCCTGTGTTTTTGATATTTTTTAAATGTGTTCCCTTTTCTACCGTGTCACGTGAGCCAGAGCATGGTAAAGACCCACTGCAGCAGCTCGTGTTCGTGCAATAGCCTCTCCCCTGCCGTCAATGTGGGAGACGATGTTCCCACACTCGCTCTCGCATGCTGCTCTCCTGATGCCCTGTCCGTCGTGTGAAGCTGCCCGTCGTGATGAACGCACCTTCACCCCAGCTGGTGCCTGCTGCTGTGCAGAGGCAGACGCCCTGGCTGCTGGGGTCAAACACTACTGCGTTGCCCCTTTACTAAGATGTACAGAACCGTTCAGGCAGGAAGAATATTTTTGATCAACTTTTCAGCTGACTTAGCAATAAAGATTTTTACTTTCATCTAAGAGCACAGGCTGCGCGTGTCACTGCGCTGGGCGACGCAGTCAGCTCCCAGGATGTGGCCGGCTGCACCCACGCTCACCCCATTGGTAGCCCGTCTCTTGGAGGTGGGCCCAGGGAGGAGGGCTTGGCCATGCCACATGAGGTCTGGGCACAGCCTTGCCTCTGGCTGCGGTGGGGCAGCTCCCTGGGACCCAGGCAGAGGGGAGCGAGTTGCCAAGACCCACGTGCTGCATGGCTGCCAGGGATGGGTGTAAAGGAGGGCGGGTCTTGCCCCCAAAGCCCAGGGCAGATGGGTAGCAGGGAGACCACTGCAGCCAAACCAGAGGTGGGGTGCTTTGTGCCCACAGCTGCCCTCAGCATGAGGCAGTGGCTGCTCAGGGCTGTGGGGAGTCTGGTGCCCAGCCCTGGCTCTGCTGTTTCGGGCCCCTCTCCTCCACTTGAACCTTCAGCAGGGGTAGCTTCACCCTTGACGCTGTCAACACCGCACCTGATGAACCATTAGCCTCATGCCCAGCACAGGCCTGGCCGGCCCCTGGGTGGGGAGCACTGCCCACTCCCCTCCTCCCCACCAGTCAGTGCCCAGGGAGGGGCTCCCTCACCCACCCTCACCAGGCTGGCTGGCGCGCTCAGCACGAGGCTGCTGGCACTGCTGCCAACTCCTTCATTCAATGCCCTGGCTGCACAGGAACAATGGCTGGCCCCATGCCTGCAAGACGCAGCAGCTACAGCTTTGCCCCATCTGCAACCAGCAGCTGCTGCAGCACAACTACCGTCCCAGAAGGCCCAGCTCCCTGCATGCCTGGGGTCAGGACACGGCTTGGGCACTGCCAGGCCCCAGCTCCCTCTTGCTTTGCCCTGGTGAGGGGAAGGGGCGATGGAGCCAGCGCTGGCAGGCAGCAGGGAGGAGGCTGCAGACTGGCACTGAATTCCAGCTCCCTTTATTTAAGGTTAAGCGAGGGGCACAGTCCCAGCCCCAAGCAGAGCTGAGTCCCAGGCTAGGGCTGGACCCCCCGGCTGGGACAGGGCTGCCGGGGAGGGGAGGAGCAAGCTGTCTGCAAGGCAGGGGTCTGCCAGGCTGCCACGCTGATGGGCAGAGGGTCCAGGGTCAGTCTCACAGGAGAGGGGAGCTGGTGAGGCACATGTTTGAACAGCAGCACCGGGTTGCTGTGGCCTGGCAGGGAGCCCCTGTCCTCGTGGCTGCAGCGCAGCTGCTCTAGAGCTCGTAGGCATGTGCTGGCTTCTCCTGCAGCCGGCGGACAGTGCGGAAGCCCCGCACGGCCAGGCCGGCACTCAGTGCGAACACCAGGGCCGCCACGCAGCCAAAGAGTCCGGCAGCGATGTCTGCCCCGTGCAGGCTGCAGCTGAACCCCTGGTAGCCCTTGCTCTGGTAGAGCTGCTCCCGCTCCTTGCACAGCGGGGAGGCGTAGACGGCCTGCAGCTGGTGGAAATAGAAGTACAGGGCGGGCAGAAGGCCCAGCGCCAGCAGCACGTCCAGCACGCACTCCAGCAGCAGCCAGGCAGGGCAGCGCCAGGGCAGCCGCAGGGCCCCCAGCAGCACCAGGAGGAGGGTGAGGGCCATCAGGGCCCCCCCCACCGCCATCGAGGCCCTGGCAATGGGCAGCTTCATGCGGTGAAACTGAGCGTCGAGCTCCCGGGCACGCACCCCATCCGGCCCGCTGAAGCCACTGAAGGCACCTCCGTACTGGTAGTAGTAGATGCTCCCCAGGTCTGGGATGCCAGTGTAGCCGCCCGCGGAGCCGTAGGACACGGAGCTGCAGACCAGGATCAGCAGGCCCAGCAGTGCCTCCATCATCTGGCAGCAGGCTGCACGGGGGGAGGGTGTTAGCACCCGGGGGCTGTTCCCTCCTCCAGCCTGGCCACCGCGGTCCGTCCCGCGCTTGCCTGTGAAGGCGCTTGAAGCCTGGGGGAGCTCGGCCCAGGTCGGAGCCCGTCCGGGGGAGCCCCGGGGCAGCGCTGTCCTAGGCTGCAGGGAGGTGTTCTTGCACTCGCTGAGGGCATTGGTCCCAGCCCAGGAAAGGGGATTGAGCTCCGCAGGGCTGACCCCTGACCTTGCCCAAGCCCCAACCTCCCAGCAAGGCAGCTCGGGACCAGGGGACACAAAGTGCAGCCCGCCCCCCCAGCGCTGCGCCCAGCAGCTGCTGGACGCATGCAGGGCCCTGGAGCGGTGGTGGTCAGGCCCTGCGCCCAGTACCCAGCGGCCTGGCACAGGCACAGGCCCTGCAGTCCCAAGGAGCTGCGAGCCCCGCTCCCGAAGCCGGGAAGGATCTGCAGCCGCAGCTCGGGTCAAAGCTCCGTGCTCCTGGGGCCAGGCCCTGCGTGGGCCCTGCCAGCCCGCCCCGGCCCCGCTCGGGTCAAAGCTCCGTGCTCCTGGGGCCAGGCCCTGCGTGGGCCCGGCCAGCCCGCCCCGGCCCCGGCCCCGGCCCTTCCCGGGGAGCCCGAGCACTGGGCGGGCCGGGAGCAAGCTCGGCCCCGCCGTCGGGAACCAGAGCAAAGCC